TCTATTTTGAGCTGAACATATTCCTTGCGTTACGTGGGAAGTACAGAGCGAACCTATTTGATCCCATCTTTTATGCGTCACTAGATTTACATGGATGAGCAGATGCCAAGGCTTGTAGCTGTAGCTCGCCAGGAGGAAGAAGAAGTTTGTTGCTTCTATAAGGGATGTATAACCATTTCATTTGTACTACTGTTACCTTACCTAGAAGCTTAATTCTTTTTAGCCAGCATTTAAGCTTCCAACCTCGTCAAGATGATAACAGAGTCAAGAAAATCATTTCAAGTATCTTATGCTACAGGTATTCCCCATATCAGTGCAGGGCCACAGACATGTAAAAACATTCGTAGGGTGCCCTGACAATTTGGTCATTACAGCCTGGGCACTTGTTGTGCCTAAGGGTATAGGCATATTCTATCTGTGTTTTTAGGCAAGTGGGATGTGTATAGCAGAAACAAAGACTAAGGTACTTAGGCACGATGTACTAATTCTCTACATATCCTGGTTAATTAGGGATATACAGAGGAACGATAGAGCATATTGTTGTCTCAATATTAAAGTCGTCTAATCCAGTTCAAACTAAATTAACTCAACCATGTAATGTTAGCATTAGTCAATGAGGGATTAGGTTAGTTTTGGCCAAGCTAGCTTCAAGTCAAGTTAGATTAGGTGAATTTATATAAACACACCATTAGTTCCCATTGGATTGCAAGAGAGTAGGAGCCAAAGTTGGCGTGGCCGACAAGCTTCAATTCCTCACTACTATTTATTTGGCTTCGGTTATATGAGATTATTTAAACAGTGCTCATCCTTCTTGCTGACCAGTCTTGAAAAGACTCAGTTGTTTGTTTAGATGGGGCACTTGATAAAAACGAGTAGCCCTAGTTTTTTGCCCTCTTTGTATTGTTGCGCCTATGCCTCAATCGCTCTCCATTGTAGCTGATCAAAGCACGTTGGAAAAAATATGCTCTGTCCCACCTAGTTGGCGTTATTCCAGGAACAGACATCAGCCTCGAAAGAAGAGAAATATTTTTTGTAATAACCTTCACCACATCCCTCCCACATTCGCATAGTCCAGTCCGCACACTTAAGCCAGACATTTTTTTTAAAAAGCGAAAGCTTTTGATTTCGATTAAGGTACACAGGAGAAGGAAGACGTCTCATCTGGCTAGCATCAACGGGATATATTTTTTCTAAACGATTCGTCCCATAATATCTTGATCCTCAAATAGTCCAGTCATTTTGTCATTTTAGATAGCAAAATAGTATCATCTCCAACTTTATAGAACATTCAAAAAGAGTCATAAAAACAATTGATCGGTGTCATTCGTATTTTGAAGTGCATCTTATCGTTTAGTCTACAACATATATCAATGGATACGCTTACACCGTAGGATAGCCTTAGCCATTTAGCGATTTTAAAATAACATCTGAAACTTATCATGTGGTGGTGGTGGTTTTTCATGTTGATAGCCCCCATGTTTTGTAGCATGATTCGGCCTGATAAACGTTTTATGTCCTGCCTGCTTGTCGGTTATCACGCCAGTGGGTGACATGTTCAGATTCAAGAAAATATTTGCTACATCAACAAGAATATATGACGTAACTGCAGATGTGCTTACTGTGTAATCATCTGGTTGCACCAATGTTAAGTTCAATGGTCTGATCTTAGACTTAGACGTACTCGCTAACGTCACTGTTTCCACGAATAACAATATTTTAGTAATAGTCTAATCATATTAGCAAATTTCCCCGAAATAATTGTAAAGTTTGGTTTTATTGGTGCAAGTTGTTCAAGGGGGTATTTAAAACATGGACGCATAAAATGGGTACACCAATTTTTGTGGTAAAACGTTTTATTTGACAACAGAGAATGAGAAAACGTGTTTTTTTTTTGGGAATCAATCGAAAGTGTTGACAGGAACGAAAAAACTTTTCATACAAGATTTTTAGTTATTTATGAGACCTACAAAATGAGATGACACCTTAAAAGATCCGACTAATAGGAAAACTGTTTTGATCGAAAAACGAGCCAGAATGCAGGTTTTGGCTTTTGGATAATTTCTTGAACTTGAAATTCTTTGAATCCATAGGATTTATAATTTTTAATAATAACAAAGTTGGATTATATTGGTCAAGTAGTTTTTTGAGAATTTCTAATTGTTTATTTCAATACACCCGTATTCCGGCCATCACTACTAGTTTATTGAACAATATACAGGTTCGTTCAATTGGCATTTAATAGCAAAATACACGTGTTTACCTTGCCAATACGAATCAGCAACCATTCCAAAAGATAAATGTTATTTTTATGCGAAAAACGAAGGCTACTTTTTCTCCCTTAAACAAATTCAAACATTTCGTATTTGTGAGTAATTGCATAATTGCGCTACGATGTTCGAGAAACATACATTACTAAACATATTTTAAAACTAACCGGATGTGTCTATCATCTTTTGTTGCAAATTACTCACAAATACGGGATGTTTGAATTTGTTTAGAAGAAAAAACGTAACCCATACTTTTTGCATAAAAATAACACTTATCTTCCGGAATGGTTTGCGATTCATATCCGCAAGGTAAACTAGTGTATTTTGATATAAAATGCCCTTTGAACTAACACTGTATATTGCTCAATAAACTGGTAGTGATGGCCGGAAAACAGGTGTTTTGGGATAAGCAATTAGAAATTCTCAAAAACTACTCGACCAATCTACTCCAATTTTGTCTTGGCTATTATTAAGTCCGAATCCGACGAATTCGAAGAATTCCGAATATCTGCGAGAAAGTATCCTAGCATCACCAACAAGTGTCAAAACCTCGGTTTTCGGCCATAACTTTTCGGATCTGTTTACGTGTGGCTTCATTTTGTAGATCTCATAAAAACCTGAAATTCTTATGTGAAGAGTTTTTTCGTTCCTGCCGACACTTTCTATTGAATCCCAAAAAACTGGTTTTCTCATTCTTTGTTATCGAATAATAAGTGTTCCCACAAAAATTGGTGTACCCATTTCATGGGTCCATGTTTTGAATACCTCATTGAATAACTTGCAGCAACAAATCTAAACTTTACAATTATTTCGCAAACCATGGGTACTTTCGTCTAATACTATAGGAAGTTTTTGGTCAGCGGCTGAAAAAATCAATTTCGTGCTCCTTGTGGTTAATTTTGTGATAATTGATAATTTTTTTTTCATTATTCTTGGCATAGAGCAGAATAGATACATGGAACAATACGATACTAGTGTATAGTGATGAGTTAGTAGCATAGATGTAACAATGGTCAGAACTTCTCGCCAGCTACCACGCATATTTCCAAGGAGAAAGTATTTTCAGAACGTCTGAGAGTTTTGACTTGCAGACGTTTTGTTTATCTGAGCAGCCTATCAAGACAAAAGAAAGCATATGGGTGTTTTTATTCAGAGAGTCTCCTCTAACCTAAATTGACAAGGCTATTTATCCTCCCACTCCAAGCAACTCATGCGTTATCAGAAAGCATTTTGTTTCAACACTGGAGCATGTCATCCTGAGGAGTCCCCAAAGCCCTTCAAAAATGAACAGCATAGACAACGTAGGAGTTTTATATACAACATAATTGAGTCGTATCCTGCCCAAGCTTTGTCGTTTGATTTTCGGTGAGATGGAAGGTTTTGTGTAGGAGGGTATACAATTAACGACGTCATTTTACCGCTAAGATAAAAAAGGTTTTGGTTTCAGAAGTAGAAAGCGAACGCCATTCAGTTTCCTAAACGTATCTTCTATCCTTTTTAAGTTCGAAAGCGATAATGAGAAAAAACTAATAAAAGCAAATGGTATCCATTTAGATATGCCAAAGCTACTAATCCCGCTCAAAATAAGATGGGAGTGTAGAAAATAGGGATCGAAAATCAGTTGTGCGTTCGCGACTTTTGTTAATCTGATGATTGACAAGTTTTGCTAGTTTAGATTATAGTACCTTCTCAAATCAGGGTTATTTAAGATTTTTGTGAAATGCTTTGCTAATAACAATTACCATCAATTTATGAAAATGTAAAGTAAATGATACTTGAAATTAGAAAGTACAGTTTAATTCTTTTTAAAGAGACTTTTGGCAATTTCTAATATTTTCTTAAAATAGGAACAAACTAGACAGTTAATACCACAGGTCCACAAAACAAAAATGCTGTATGTGCTAGTGGTCTCATTAATTTTTTCCGTGTATTTCTTCTCGCTTAACACGAAACTGGAGTCAGAATTAGGGGTTGATGATCAAGTCATAGAGAAAACGCTTAAGAATAATAATAATCGAAGGTCCTCAACAAAGAGATCTGTGTACGAATTTGAAGTTATAATTGAGGCTGAATCGATTAGACACCAGAACTGCATGACTCTGAAATGATGTACCAAATACCAACATCTGTAACCTTGATGTCTGAAATATTTTCATATTTGTCCATCGACCCCCGATTGTGGCTTCAGCTTTGTGCTCAGCGGGTTAAAATATAGTGAAGCTCCCGACACACACCACTTTTTCTATTTTGCAGTGTAATGTAGAGTTTTTCCTTGAGAGAGGAAGAGGACAAGAAGATACAGAATAAAAATGTCCTAATCTAAGTATCTCTTGATCTACGAATACTGGAAGCCTGTTACTAAATATAAGAGTATCTCACACGAGTTACTTTTAATCGAGATGTAGAGCATTCCGGTAAGAAGATGTGTATAGCCGCATTCTATGTAAACTCCTATCCGGTTACGTCCTTTCCAAGAGAAAAATCGACGTGCTTTTTACGTTGCATCGAAAACAAGCGATTCAGTCGTTGCCATGGTGACTTCTTTGAAGAGAACGACGGAGTAGTCTGCGGCAGACACAGAAAAACTTGCGAAAAATACACGTTCGAATTTACTTTCCACGTGATATATCTTCAGGATATTTTTCTGTGGGATGTATTCCTTTAACTTGGGTCGGTATTCGAATTGTCTTGTTTGGAATATTTGGACTTTCGGAATGTGTATTTGATATGTTATTAAAATAGATGAGGCAGTGAAGAAGCTGCAATTGTCATGAGAATTATTTGTAACAGCACACTTGATGTGGTTGTGTCTGCTGGAAAATACGGAAAAGATAAGAATATATTAGAACTAAAAGCATTTTTCCAGTATCACAATTCAATTTTAGATGAGTGTAAGCCAGAATATTGTATTGTCATTTGTGCGTGGAAAAGGCCTCCGTGGTGGCCGAAACGTCATGCCAGTAAACATCAATCCAAGAATATGTGAATTCATTTATCGGCCAGACAAACCCGGAGGATTATTGTTAGTAGTGAAAACAGCTTTTTATATTATTGATTGCGTTCATTGAACTCAAACAAGTCATCATATTATCTTCAACGCCCCTGACAGTGGAGCATTCTCGTCTGTCAGCTGCACAATATATGTGGTGTCCCCGATACCAACATACGCATTGAACGGTTATCAATGCTGCATTGGAATTGACAAGGCACTAATTCCAGATACCAATACTATATCAACAATAATATACCAATGGAATATTCGAACTCGAGATTGAATCACATATACATATCCTAGTGTTAATAAATCTATCATGCACACTATGTGTTTCTGTATATATGTCCGTGTACTTGAAACGAGTTTTTTCGCACATAATCAAGTAAGATTTCGCGCAATGGGGCGACACGTGGCGAAGAGACGTCTCACGCTTGACTTAGTCAAATGACAATTTTCCGTTGCTTCTACATGAGTATGTAAATTTACTCATTGGATTGTTTGCATGTCAACAGTCAATAACTCTTTTTGCTGTCATTTTATCAGCTCTTGTAATAATAAACATTTGTAGATCCTACTTAGCTATCTAGAGCTAGCAAGCTGGGCGAGAGTAATTGACAATTTAGTCCATAACAAAAGAAAACTCATGCGTTAACAAAGCATGACAGATCTATTGAAAATTTAGTATTTTCCAACGGCGACAGAAATAACATACGACTACTGTTATCTCATCTTCTATTAAGAAATCATATAAGGTGATTTGTCAAGAAGTATTTACCGACTTCGATTCCATGACTTCCAGAGGGGCTTCGTATTTAGGTCCTTGACCTTCTCTCCGGTCGTATTAAGCCGAAAATGTAACTTGTTTCTTAGGGAATCGAATTAGTGAAACCATCTGCATGAGAAGGCTTCTGCTGGTTCGTTTCATTACATTATGGTGGTCTATAGTCTACTCAAACCTCACTCATTACGCATGAAAAAGCAGGGGCACTCCTCTTTTGCGTATACAGAGTGTTTTCAAAGTTATTTTAGCAGCTTATATAACTTGTCAAAACAATTTGATATACCAAAAAACACCTATACAAAAGTTGCACGATAAGAGAGCTAGTTTAGATTATTAAAGATCATTTCAAAGAATCATTGCCAAGTTAAATGGACACCGTTTTTACAAAACTTATTTTCAGTGCGTTTTTGAAATTCTTCTAGAGTATCTAATGATATACCAACTCTTTCAGCCCCACAGCAAAAAATCGCAAGCCGTTAAATCCGGCGGGCGATGAGGCCAAGAAATGGGTCCATTGCGCACTGTCCATCTATTCAGAAACTCATTATTTAGATGTTCATGAATTTCTCGTTCAAAAAGTGGTGGAGCCCCATCATGTAGGAAGCACATATTCTGTCTCACATTTATAGGAACGTCTTCTAATAAAACTGTGGCAGGTTGAGTCGAAGAAAATCTAAATAAATTTCACCGGTCAGTGGAGGTGGAAAAAGTAGGGTCCAATAAGTATGCCATTTATCACGCCAGCCCACACATTTAATGAAAGTCTATGTTGAAAATAAGTTCTTTTTACAGCATATTGCACAAACATGATTGTTAAGGAAATTGTGCACTCCATTTAGTGTAAATGTGGCCTAGCCTTCACTTCCAGCGTGATCTCCTCGTTGTTCTTTTGAATATCATGTGTCACGAAGTCGAATGACTAAATATATAAACATCTGTGAATCTGGATGATTTCTTAAAGGAAACATTTCCGCATACAGCCCGCATGCTGCGTTTGCATTTTGTTGGCAATCTCCGTATGTTAATATTATGCCCACTAGTTCATTGTTTTCTTAAACGTGGGCCATTTGTTCGCACAAAATAATCAGAGAAATGAAAGTATGCGCACTATTAAAGGAGTGATACAACTGATCGAACCAAAGCCTCGTACTGAAAACCATATAATAACACAAAAAAAATTGCTACATTTAGTCAAACGATAAGAGTAGTGAACAAAAAAAAAACGCTGAGATTTTACACGCACTGGTCGAGAATATCAAAAAATTTGAGCAACAGCATTTTTATTTTTTCAAATGTTTAATCTTTTACTATTTCTTTTATTATGCAACCTTTATATAGGAGATTTTTGGTGTATCTTTTCCTTTTAACGAGTCCTACAAGCAGTTAAAATAAATGACTCAACTTTGGAAACACGCTGTATGCTGATCGCTGCTTGACCAGAAATTTATAATCCGCTCAAATGGAAGCGGAAGGATTTGAAGGTCGTGTAGTAGTGCTCGCTTTGGCGGAGATTTGAATATACCATAAATCATCGATACTCAATTACAAAGTGTAACTTTTTCGATTTTTCTAAGGCTTCTCTTAATTTGATTAACGGCTGTTTACAAAATCGATCTCAGAGGGTAAGCATTGATATGATTTTGTCTCCAAAATGTCTCATTTTCTCAGGAGTACCACAAGGGTCGGCACTTAGGCCACTATTATTCATTTTATATATCTGATCTTAATGCCGCTGTTAAACATTGCATTGTTCAATATTTTGCTGATGATTCACAAATTTATAATCATTTTCAATATTCTAGTATATATTCAAACTGCTGTATCTGTGTTCAATGATGATCTAAAATCTATCAGTACATATGCAAAGAATCATAATCTTCAGTTGAATCCGTCAAAATAACAATTCATTATTTGTTCGCCTGAAACATTTAGAAATGATTCTAAAAAAAACTTTAATTTAAATTTAAATGGTGACTTTATTGAGATGAGTAAATCAACCAAAAACCTAAGTATCATGTTTGATGAATGTCTCAAATATCGTACCGCATATGAATAATATCACCAGAAATTGTTATGCCATTGTATTCCCACTTTACCTAAATGAACAATTTCTTGAATATAAGACCAAAAAAATTTTGTGCGTATCTCTGATCATGTCTAAAATTACTCATTGTGATATAGTCTATGTTCCGTTTTTAGACACCACTTCTCTCATGCGTCTCCAAACAATTCGAAATGAAAAAGTATGCTTCAGCACTTATTTTAGAGACATGAAATGGCTAAGAGTAAAAGAACTATATGAGTTAGACTTAGTCACTTATACCCATAAGCTTTTACTCACAGTAATTCCTCCATTTTTAAAGGACAAAGAGATACCTAGGAGTTACATTCCCACAAGAGATATTCGATTTGCGGAGACACCCGCAATGCCTCTCCACAAGACGGCCTTCTTTCGTAAATGCTTCACATACACCGCAGTTATTCTCTGTAACTAAGAAGAAAGTTGCTGGCTTACGGAAAATTTAGGAAAGAGATTAAAATATTTATTTTGGATAAATATACTTGCAACAGTTGCATTTTCGATCTTTCACTTCACAAAATTATTCAGATTTTCTTCAAACTGTAAGATAGTTCTAATTGATATCGTATACAAGTTAAATTACTGCTACCGAAATACTTGTTTAAAAAAAAACTTTACTTTGATTGACGGTACAAAAGGACTTTTGTGAAACCTTGTCACGACGATGCGTAAAACAGGACGGTTAGACAAGAAGTGACAAGATTTCCTCACACATGGATTTAGTACAATGCAATAGAAATATAATATGCTGATACAGAGGATGTTAACAAGTGAACTTCAGGGCGCGAGATAAGATTCCATAGCGTAGCGACAATGCTAGCAAGAAATACATGTACCCGGTAATAATTATAATATTATATAAAATACAATAACTTACATAACTTATTACTTTTGTTAACATTGAGATATCCTTTTACTTTGTTTATCTTTTTGTAAGCCGAACTTTGCCCCTAATAAAGACGGTTATTATTATTACTATACCTAGATGTCTAAAATCATTTGTGGCAGTCGCGGTACCTCGGCATATACACATTATATCATATAAAACCAAAATTACTGAAATTACATCTCCCAGGAATACCCACATCCGACATAATCAACTGACATACAAAACCAAATTACAGCGACACAGGTAGTAAATCTATCTGCAAAAACTACACAAATCAGCTGAAAACGTAATTTTGATGGGGACGATTCGAACCGGAGCAATTAATCTGAAAAGCTTTCCCGGAATACGATTTTCCGCGGGATATCGGAATATCTGTGCGGACGCGGAGATTATTCTGTTCTTTTGCCTACATATCCACGGCGATTTCCGTTCTGGATTAATTATCAGGTGACATTAGCTTCAGGGTGATACGGAGTACAGTACATTGTTAAGCTCTTTCAGGAGGAATGACGACCGCTACTTTAAACTCGGGGCAATGGACCTATTACCAGATTTGTATCTCAGTGACTCGTACTCTTTTCAAGTAGTGGACTGCACCAGCTAGTCACCTAACATGCACGCGTCTTCTGCCTGTAGAATCAATGATGACCAACTGTATAACAGTAGTTCTTTTGAATTATACTTCTGTACCCCAGAGCCAGCCACGTCCATTTTTGTCAAAAATGAGTTCAATATGTTAAGCTTATGATGATATTGTGAATTTTCATTTGCTACTTGGAGCGTCCATCTATATGTAATAACCAGGAAGTTACGACCTTTTAACTTATGTCAAGTCGCATGCAATACAATACAAGAAAAATATTTCAAATACAATTATTTCAAGACTACTTATTTGGACTCAACCTAGTCTGGCTCTCTTCACAATAAAGTTCACTACGCAGTTTATAGATCTTCTCTGTCCCCTTTTCAGCATGGTTTTCTTACTAAGAGATCCACAGTAACTGATTAAACAATCTTCACTCAGTTCGCTATTGAATATGTCGATCGGCAAGGTCAACTAGATGTAGTATATACGGAATTTGCTAGAGTGTTCGATATGGTGAACCATAGCATACTTTCAGGTAATCTTTTTGATTATGGATTCCATTCATTAGCTTTAGCGCTCGTTCAAAGTTACTTTATGAAAGGGAGCAATACGTTACCTTCAATAGCTTCAAGTCGTACCAGTAGTAAATCGGGAGTGCGTCACGGTTCAAATCTTGGTCCTTTATTGTTTACCTTATTTATTGATGATGTGTAATATTTAAGTTGTAATACATGTCTCTTTGCGGATGACTTCAAATTATTCAGGATTATTGAGTCTGAGGCTGCTACAGCGGGATATTGATTCTTTAGTAGCTTGGTGTGAAAACTTCTGCTTATAAATTTAATTATAAGATTGAAGATGTTAACATAAATCGTTATAACTCAATTAACGATTTGGGTGTATTTTTTTACCGTAAACTTATTTTTTCCGCTAAAAGGGTGTGTGACAGGGCACGCTCAAATTTGTTTTTGAAGGCTTCAGTATATGTGATATGTGAAACTTTCAAAGCCATATCCAATTATTGTGATTCACATGCTGACAGTTTGAGCAGCATTCTGACAGTAGCTAGAAATTGCTTGGATAATTTATTATACGTCTCTCACATGAGTGATATATTTTTTTTTTGTTTTTCTTTTCTTAGGATGAAGTCACCTGCTTGTTGTTTATTTTCTGTTTTTGTCAGTTTGATTTACCTTAGGATTGTGCTGTAAATGGTTTCCTTAACTGTTGGGCAATAAACGCTATTTATTATTTATTTATGTGGCTCTGAAGTACAGATTTACAAGTTTGTTTTTGTAAAAAATAAAACTATCAATATCGCTGCACATGGTATGTTTAACCAGTGAATGTATTTTGCAAAAATAAATCATTGTGCTTTTAACCTTCATAAACCTGATTGGGATGCAGTAGCACCCCATATATCAATTTGGGGGTATTTTCTTAAATATTTCCTTTGAAGAATGTTTCTTAAATATATTTCTAATTTAGTATAGAAGAGCTTAAAGAAATTGCTATTCATTGTAACAAATTATAGTGAGTTTTGTAGCTTGGGATTCAAATTCAAATTCATAATACATTTATCTGCAAAAAAAAACATTATTTTTATCGTATTATAGAACATACACACACTTAATAATATTTTTGGCCAAAACGACAAATTCTCGATCAAAGGACCGTTAACACCCAGCCTTACATAAGTAGGGTGGTTGTGAAAATGCCATGTTCTACACTAATTTACACATATATTATAATATATAAACAATATTTAGGAATTCAATGATTTAATTTTCTACGAGCATGAACCATTGATTAAGATAAAAATATATTTACGCACTTAAGATGTCAACGTTCAGACGGGTGGGGAGCACTCCATCTTAATAAAAAGATAAATTTGAAAAAATAAACTTTACAACAAGTATCCGTGCACAATCACACTCATTATTGTATTATTGATCCTGGAGAAGTATGGCCATTATATACTTTGAGAATACTCATTGTGACATTACCTTTACATCATTATTTAGATTGTTCCACATTTTAACTGCAGGATATGAAAAAGAACGTTGAAATGCTGCATACCTATGGCGAGGAGTAATAAAAAAATTCTGGGACAAGACATAAGTCTTGTCCCGTAATAATGATTAAAAGTTAAAAATTCATTTTTCAAATACAGGTTTTCCTGATTTCATTATTCCATAGATGAAGTTGAATGAATGATGTTTTCTGCGACTTTGCATATTCAGTATAGACAAATTGTTTAGGTAAGGTGTTATGTGGTTACGATAAGGTATGTTGAATGAAAATCGCATGCAGGCGTTCTGCAATTTTTGTATCGCATTTTCAGTAGTATATGCTAACGAGCTCCCAGCTTCAGCTGGAGCCCTCTCGGTATGTCACATTCTGCTCTAGAACACAACAAAGGGTGCAGTGCATATAACAGATAACTTGACAAAAAAAAAGACTGAAACAAAGAGTAATCGGTTTCCGATGGCAGTATTTTTCCATCTACTGGACATTGGTGGCATCAACGCCTATAAATTATGGGTGTTGAAAAATCCAGATTGGAAAAAAATCGTTTGGATAGAAGATGTTTTTGTTGAAGTTGGACCAACAAGTAATAAGGAAAACTATAATTCGTATGTACCAGAATGACAAGCTTTTACATTCTAATGTAAAACGATCCATTTTAACCATCTTGTTAGAATTAGATATAAGTAATGAACAACCTGTTCCCGATATTGGCAGACAGCAGCGATGTTTCTTATGCGACAGACGTAAGACAGGAAATCTAGGAAGTTTTGTATTTGGTGCAATCAGTACGTACGAGGCATGTCTTTTAAGTTTTGCATATAGAAACATAGTGAGCCGCGCGGATCGAACGTCAGTACTGAATCTTAACCTCACTCTTTAGTAAACTTAAATTCAAAGTTTCACAACAATACGTGCAGCGTTCTCACTAAAGTGAATATTTAAGTATCACAGTGTGACATATCGCCAGATAGAGGCGTCCTTGAAGATCTAAAAGACCTTAATTCAAAAAAATTTACATGAAGAATTAGGAGTAAGAAAATTAGGTTCTCGTTGGATACCCCACCTGTTGACTGAAGAGCAGAAAGCAGCCAGGGTTAATTGGTGTCAAATAACGCTTGACCGTTTCAATTCCGGAAACTCAAAAAATGTGTACAGCATTGTTAGTGGTGATGAATCGTGGATTTACTGTTAAGAACCAGAAAATAAACGACAGTCGGCTATTTGGGTGTTCCAAGGTGAAGAAAAGCCATCCATTCTCGAAGTGTTTCGAAAAAGATGGTCGCGACATTTGTGTCAAAAGCGGGTCATATTGCAACAATTCCTCTTAATGAGCAAAGAACTGTTACTGCGGATTGGTATACCACCGTTTGTTTGCCAAAAGTCATCACCGAGCTTCGAAAAATCAACCCCGAAAGAAGAATCATGCTCCACCAAGACAATGTAAGCTCGCACACAGCCCAAAAAACAAGGCAGTATTTAACGGAAGAAAACGTGGAATTATTGGACCATTCTCTATATAGCTTTGATCTAAGTCCTAACGATTTCTTTACTTTCCCGAAAATTAAAAACAGACTGCGTGGTCAAAGGTTCCGGTCACCAGAAGAAGCAGTTGACGCATTCAAAAATGCCATTTTGGATATGCCAGCAATCGAGTAGAATAAGTGGTTCGAAAATTGGTCCGAGCGCATGCAGATGTGTATTAATCTTCGTGGAGAATACTTCGAAAAACAATAAAGTCATTTAAAACTACCTACCGTGTTATTTTATTTCCATATGCAAAACTTAAAGACATCCCTCGTATGTGCAGAACATTAAAAAAATTTAGCAGTTTGTATCAGGTGTAATAATTAAATTATTATTTAAAATCTCACAGATTCTTATATATTATATTTTTCTTTATATTGTAATGATTTCATATTATTTTTTCCAAATGCGATTATTTTCCAATGTTTACAGCATACCTATGTGAAGATGTTTATTCTTTGTTCTCGATTAATCAGAAATTTAAAAAAAATTAGCCAAAAAAATGTTGAGGTACATTATTTACACCCCACTCGATACTTAGTGTAAGTTTTTGACCACGTGCTTACGAAGGTTTAGGCCCGTATCCTCAGACGTCCCTACAATTGTAGGGCACCTTTATGGCCTCCTTGATTATCATAGTTTTCTACTTCTCCGTGTCAGCGCTCTATTTTGAGGTTATGTCACAAACATCTATTTGCATCAAATTGTGCTTACTTTTGAGCCTAAGGCCCGTATCATCGGTCGTCCCTACAATTGTAGGGCGCGTTTATGGCCTCCTTGATTGTCATACTTCTTTCTCTCCTTCAAAAATTTCTATATTACACTTGTCCCGTGTCAGCGTCAGCGCTCTCCTATTGTGTAGATATGTTTTCTTTTTAAATTGTAGGAAATTTCAGGCTGATAAAACATGATATAACTCAAAAGCAAGCACAATTTGATGCAAATAGATGTTTATGACATAACCTCAAAATACAGCGCTGATACGGAGAAGTAGAAAACTATGACAATCAAGGAGGCCATAAAGGCGCCCTACAATTGTAGGGACGACTGACGATACGGGCCTAAATCCTGTTCTATATATTTCCGTTCGCTCAACCTTTGTATATAATTTTCACTTTATCCTAAAATGGAGCAGTGTAATTATATTTATCGAGACCTCCATATGCACCAATATAAATATAAATGATACAATAACCTTGCTAGTCATGTCCATGGTTTGTTTATAATAAAACTGAGAATTCACTTTATAATTATAGTATAAAATGAAACCACAATGCCAAAGCTTTGCTTTAAAAGTTGACAAACCTAGCATTAAAATGTAGGCCTCCAAGTAGTCACCATACAGCTTCAATGATCCTCAAGATGTTTCTGACAATCCACTGATGCATTCCCCTGCACTTTTTATCAGCAGATGCAGGGCTGTAAGGATCGGAAGCACATACTAGATATACAAGGTGGGCCATTTAAAGTGGAAGAATCGAGCAACCCTATATCTAACATTAGTTGTCAGATCGACTAATGCTATACCGCGTTGGAAGCGACATTTCAGCACAATTTTAACCATGGAACAGAACACACCAAAACGACGTGCTGAAATTATTCAGTTATACATTCAAAATGACTTCTCAATCGTGAAAACTAAACGTGCGTTTCGTAAAAAAATAGAGTCAAAAGTACTCCAGCTTATAACACTATCAGACGTTCATACGCAGATTTTGTGAATACCGGTAGTCTTAGTAATGCCAGTTACCTGTCCAGATAACGAGCAAGACGTTATGATGAAAATATCGAAGCCGTACGAGCCAGCGTCGAAGAGACTCCATCAACATCCGGTCGTTATCGATCTCAAGGGTAAGACATCGCTCGAACCACTCTCGGACGCGTAATTCGTAAGGATTTGAAGATGTTTTCATACAAGATTTAAATAGCTCATCAATTAAACCCAGCTGATTCACTGGACAACAAATTTTAGTTTTTTAATTGTATCTTGTGGGAAAAGTGCACTTCTTTGTTAATTTTGGGGCGCTGAATCCAAAAATGACAATGAAATAACAAAATTAGTTGCGGTTTAGAAAAAAACTTTTTATTTTTAAGGATATATTAAAAAAAGTAACAAGATTCATATACTTATAAGAATCACTATATGCGCTGTCTTTTTGCTGTTCTTTTATGGATCGTTTCTGGAGCATCCCTACCAAGAGTCCAACAGTAGTCTGCAAGCATGGAGGGATTCCACTTTCCCTGGTACCTTTTTTCCATTGTTGAAAGATCCTGATGAAAACGTTCGCCGTGCTCATCACTTGCGGCTCCGCAATTGTCAGGAACAAAGTCCAGGTGTGAGTGTAGGAAATGTATCTTAAGAGACATATTACAGCCCATCTTTTGATACGATGACAGCATATTTTTGACAAGGGTTTTATAGTTGTCAGCTTTTCTATTTCCCAAGAAATTAGTGACCACCAGACGGAAATCATTCCAAGCAGTTTTTTCAATACCTGTTGAAGTGTTTTCAAACTGTGTATCTTTCAAAATATTTCGAATCTGTGGCCCAACAAAAATACCGTCTTTAACCTTTGCCTCACTTAGTCTTGGAAATTTCTGACGCAGGTATTGAAGAGCTGACCCATCTCTATCTAATGCCTTGACAAAATTTTTCATTAGGCCCAACTTGATATGCAGTGGTGGTAATAAAATTTTTTTCGAATCTACTAATGGCATATGCTGTAAATGTTTTTGACCTGGCTCTAGGAATTGACGAACAGGCCAGTCCAGTTTTGTCTGGTGTAATGAAGTGCCTTTGCCCGACTGTCCCATTCACACAAAAAACAGCAAAACTTTGTGTAGCCTAGCTGCAGCCCAAGTAAAAGTGCAACAACTTTCAAATCGCCACAAATATGCCATTGGTGCTCATCGCATTTTATGCATGTCAATAGGTACTTCATATTGTCATAGGATTCTTTCATGTGAACTGCATACCCTACAGGAAGAGATGGTAAAATATTTCCAATATGCAATAACACTGCCTTTAAACTCAATGTTGAACTGCCTATAAACAATCTCCATTCTTCTGGGTTATAGTTTATATTTAAAGCCGCCAGTAAGCCGTTAATGTTACTGCAGAAAACCAAGTTATCCTCCATATTGAAAAATGGTTCTAAGTCTTTGTGGCGTTTACGAAAAACACATACCGAAACATCGTCTTCTAACAAGTTCCACTGCTGCAGTCTTGATCCAAGTAACTCTGCCTCACAGTTTAGAAGTTCTAAATCTCTTACAAGATCATTTAATTCAGACTATGTTATTTTGTGCGGTTGGTGGCATGACGTGCTCGGTATAAAATCAGGATCTCTTGACGTTGATGCATATCTTCTCCCTGATGAATCACTTGATCGCCATGATCTGATTCGTTTTCTGATTCACAAGTGTAGGATTCTGGGGTTTTGGAATAGGATTTTCGTCATTGTGAGGCACAGGTCTCATCGCAGATGGTATGTTTGGGTAGTTAATAACCGATTTTTTTTTCTTGGACATACCTGTGGCTTGTCCAACACAAGGTACCACCATGCAAAAGTAACAATCATTAATATGATTTGTAGGCTCTCTCCAAACCATTGGGACAGCAAAGCGCATAGACCGTTTTTTGCCATTTGACTTGAAGCACATGTATTACAGCAGATGTGGGTTGCCCAGTGTTTATCTTGATCACCTAGTTTTCAACCGAAATAAAGCTGATATGCCTTTGTTATTAGTGGAGTAATAGACCGTCTCTGAGACGCAAAAGTCACATCACCACACACGTAACAAAACTGATCTTTCGAGACATCTTGCATGAACGCTGTCAGCCAACTGAGGAAAAAATGGCTAATATGAAACAATATAATGTACACGTATGTATAACGTAACACAATCATGCCGATTACATCATCTTTCCTTGCCGAATGTAAAAATGTAGCACGTGCATTCTTGTGAATTATAGTATATTAACACTGTCACAGCAGGAACACATATAATTACCGCATCTCTAAAACTTGAACTAATATTGAAAAAATAAGTTTCATTCCGATTTTAGCACATTAAAAATAGTAATATTTTGTTGATTTTATTTAGGACATTTTTTGGCTGTTGATCAGTGATTATCCGTGTCGCTTTGACTTTGCTAAATAGAGCATTGAAATGACCAAAAATGAAGATGACTTTTGGCGAAAAAGTCATCATCGACGAGGCACAAACAAAATTGTCACTTTTATTCTGCCGAAAACCCTCAATTAATCGAACAGCAGCCTCTTTATGACCAAAAAGTTACTGTTTGGTGCGGTATGTGCGCGAATATCGTCATCGGACCGTATTTTTTTGAAGATAATTATGGAGCTGCGGTAACGGTCAATGGTGAGCGTTATCGAGCCATAATGACGAATTTGTTGAGGCTAATTGTTTGTGAAAATGACATGGACGATTACTGGTTCCAGCAGGTAGGCGCCACATGCCACACAGCTCAAGCAACAATCAATTTATTACGACCATTGCTCCCTGGACGACTGATATCGAAAAATGACGAGATCACCGGATTTGGCGCCACCAGACTTTTATTTGCGGGGCTATTTGAAATCGAAGGTATACACTAACAAGCCAAGGACTCTAGCTGCCCTCAAGAACAATATTCGTCACGAAATTGCCGCCATATCCGTAGAAACATTGGCCAACGTGATGGAAAACGCCGAAAAAGGGCACATTTGGTTATAAAGGCAAGAGGTGATCATTTGCGCTTGGATCAAAATAAAAGACTTTTCAAATGAACAACAAAAAAAACTTTTTTTAATGTACTAATTTTATAAACAAATGCTTCCACTTTAAAAGGCCCACCCTGCATATATGCTGCACATAAATGGAAGAAACTACAGTAACGTAAACAAGCTCAACTGATACACACATTATATCGTATTCTGTCAAGGCTTGGTCATTACAGTTTATTTAGCAAGCAAGTGCGGATTTCCTAAATATCCAGTTGTTGCACATTTTTGGGTCTGCCAAATTATATTTTCCGTACTAGCTCGTTCAAATGCCCAAGATTGTACGTGTATTCTACCGAATTTGCGTCCATTAACAGACGGTGGATGAAATCCCGAGGCAGTAATATCACTTGCGGAGGAACGATGCGCGATATACGGAAGAAGTGCAACTTCTCAAGGAAGGGAGAAATAAAAGAAAACTGCTCTCTTCTTTGTGGC